GTAATGAGCTGCCCCTGACTGAAACAGCTATGGAGCAAAAACACGAGAGAAACAGAGTGACATATTTAGCAGTGTGAGGGAATGAAAGAGCTGTGATGGAGAAAGGAGGAGAAGAATTTCCCACGCGAGCCTTTGTTACTGAGGTCTTTTCCTGTGACACTTTGTATTTTGGTGTTTAATGCAGGGGTGCATTTGTAAAGGACCTCAGGATATCAAATGACATGTTAGCTTTTTGTTTTACTCTAACCACATCTGGATCTGGTAGATCCAGCTGCCTTCCCCTCAGCTCCCTCAACTTCTGCTTTTTCAGTGATGACTTTTGTCTCCCTAAATATTACAACAGATTAGAAGCAAAACTCACAATAGGTCACACAAAAGTTATAATATATATACAAATGAATATAATTGACTGATTTAATGATCCCCTACTTAAGTCCATACAACAGCTACCTGAGTGGAGCCTTCCTATAACTGCCCACTGGGCGGCTAAGCTCCACCTCTCATTTGGCCAGACAGGCCTTGACCCCATAGAGTGCTGGAGCCTCAAATTAATAACAGACCAGTGCCACATCTTTATAGAGCAGCACACCTTTAAAGTCAGACTACAGGAAGCTTAGCTGTCATTCAAACCACAGATCTGAAAAGTTTACAAGAGAGTTGCCCATAGTTAAATTATGTTTTACTGTCATGTATGTATTCACTCACTGGTCACTTTATTAAATACAGCTTGCAAGTACACAGTTAGACTCCCTCTTCCTTCAGAAATGCCATAATTCTTCGTGGCGTAGATTTAACAAGGTGCTGGAAACACTCCTCAGAGATTTTGGTTCATGTTGGTGTGGGCCAAAATCGTTTTGTTGTTCTGGTCAGCAGGGTAGGCTGTGGCTCAGCCGATACGAAGGGTCCAAAAGTGTCCCAGGAAAATATCCCTCACACCATTACAGTGCCAGCAGCCTGAACCGTTGATATAAGGCAGGATTTATGGATGCTTTAAATTTATGCTAAATTCTCACTGTTGTATCTTTGTATTCCTGTCAACTCAAAGCACTCTGAGCAGTCTCCTTTGACCTCTTGCATTAACAAGGTGTTTTCATCCAGAAAACTGCTGCTCCCTGGATATTTTCTCCTTTTAAGCTTCAGAGTAAATATGATTGTTCTCGAAAATCCCCGTAGATCAGCATCATCTGAAATACTCTGGTATCAGCCACCATGCCACGTTCAAAGTCA